AATATTATATATAGGCATGACATATATTAAAAAAAAAAAAAAATAAATAATTAATTTAAATAAAATGGGAGCAGTTACTTATAAATATTAAGAACCCAACAATTTATAATTGAATAATATCAGTTTGATAATTCATATCATTTATATTTAACATTGAAGAGATTGATGTTAAAAGTTCGGATATTATAAATGAAAATTTATATTAATATACTAGTATATACATTCCTATATACATATGTATATTGCCCGATAAATTGCGTATATATTACAAATTATGTATTTCTAGTTCCCAATGCATTGGGAATGGTACATTGGGAATGGTACATATATTGTTGTGTATACTGCAGAGTATTAGTATATTGAGTATTATATATTGAATATACTATCTTGACTACGTGAGCGAGCATACAAATTTGGGGCGAATAAGTTTTTTGGATGGTTACAATTTGCCTGTTAATGCCTTAATTCTGTCTCTCTGTCTCTCTGTCTCACTGTCTCGTTGTCTGTCCCATTCAGCGCGTCCCTTTCCATATCTGTGCTTGGTAAAGTGCAAGGCGTGTAGCATGCATCATCTGTCTGTCGCTTCCGTCCTCGGTCTGTTGTCGCCATCATGGTTGTTGTCCACGTCCAGTGTGACTTGTGCCTTCCAATTTAGTGGCAACATTCGAGTTACCATTTAGTTTAGCAGACCAGCCCAGCCCATCCCAGCCCATGCCATCCCAGTCCAGCCCAATTCGGTTTCACTCCAATCCAGTCCAGTCCATCCGGCTAGCTGGCTTGTTGTAATAATTTTGACACTCACTGTGTGCATATTTTCTATTGCATTTTCCTTTGTGACTTTGCAATTGTGTTTGAGTTTTGAGCTTCCATTTTTTCATTCTCTTTCTCTTTATTTTTGTGAATTTTTTGCCTGCTGGCGTTAATACCCTGGTAATTGGTTAAAAAAAAAGCTTATAGAGCGTATTAAATTTGAGTGAATTTTATATCTCATTTTTAATTTAATTGGTTGTCATTCAGATACTACAAAAGGCAACCATCTTAGATAGGGTTTTCCAAAGAGAGATGAGAAATAAATATTGATATGCATTGTTTCGATATATATTGCACGAAATTATAGTAAAAATAAGAAAGAAATAATATTTAAATATATTTATAGAGGATTATAATGATTGTTAATATAATAATTTTTGACCTTAAAACAAATTCCTGAAACCCTATATTATAAATCCAAATCTTTCACTGAAATATGCTAGACCCAAGTTTATGATCCTCTCAAGTATATTAGTTACAAATGAGCTTCTCTGACGATTAAGTCAACTGCCTTATGTGTATACATATATCTCATATTTTACTAATGACGCTTAAAGACCAAGTCAAGGCGTTCTATCCCCGCCCACAAACAAATGCAAAAGCTTAACTATTGAAAATTTTAATAAATATTTTATGATGCCGAGCTGTGATTTATTACGATGTTGTTTTGAAAGCCTAGGATATTATGCAGTCGGTTAGATCTTGGTGCAATTGTTCTTAGTTGTCTCGCTTTTATTTCATATTGTAATTTATACTGTGGTAGTTGGCTCTTTTTATTATTTTATGTTTTTTTTTTTCATAATTTTTTTTTTTTTTTTGTTCGCCTTGCCTTGCGTCGGCCTCTCATTGGTTTATGGCTTGTAAGTTGTTTATTATTAATGTTTGGCATATGCCGGAAGTTTCGACGATTTGATGCTATTCTTGCTGCGCTTTGTGGCATGAGCTCATAGTAATATACATATGTACATATGTGTATATATCTCTCGATATCTCTTGCCACATTTGCTGAGCATGTAATGCGTCATTTAGCGACGAAAAGAAGAAGCAAGGAATGCATTTATTATGTTTTGAAGAACCTCCAATATTTGTAAATATTAGATGTACTATAAGCATAGTATACTCTATATAAACACGTTTACTAACTACTCTCTACTCTATAAACTAAAGGTAATAATATCTCAAATAAAAAAGATCTTTAATAACATAATGCCCCAACAAAAGCAGTTATAGGTCAATTATAGCAACCATTCATTAACCATTGATCGGGCGCAAAGTTAAATTGCAAAGAAATGCACTTTCAAAAAATTCGCGAGCCGGAAAAACTTAAAGTTAAACAGCAACTGAAAATGCAAAGTTCAGCTGTGAAAGCGAAAGGTTGTTTATGATAACAGGCTAGAATGGCAGGTGGGGAACAGGTGGGGTTAAAGGGAGGATAAGCAGGCAACTCAACAACAAGTTGCACCTAAGTTGAGCTAAGCGTGAAAGGGAAAAGAAAGTCGCAGTCGGAAAAGCTGTGACTGAAGCTCGAACAGAGGCAAGAGCTGATGCAACAATTGTCGCTAGGGAATATTTGGGGGAGCAAAGAAAGAAAGGCGGTAAGAGTTAAAGATAGTGGCATGGTAAAACTAAAGCAACATCAATGAAAGTGTTTATTCTCGTAAAGATACCCTACAAACTATACAGCTTTCAAAATATACAATGCAGAAGCTTTTGAAATTATAGAAATGGCATAAAATATTGTAGAAATATAATACAATTTTACTGCGTAGGACAGTTAAGAAAATATGTTTCAAATATCACAGTTCCACGAGTTTGTAAATTACTTGATTTACGTTAGTTTCCTAAACATACTTAGCTTTTTCTCATTTCGTGAACCTGCCTCAAAAAGCTCTCATTAAGTTACGCTCAATGTAGCTTACGTAACGTAACAACGTAAATGATTCGACTTGTATGACACTCAATTATGCATGTACCCACACACGCACATACATATGTATGTATGTTTCCCATGAGCACTGCTCGCTCGTTGAGTTCACTCAGTCGATCGATGCAATTGCTGGAGCAACGGTAGAGAGATCAGCATGGTTGTTGCGGCGCTCGCATTCCTACGTTTGTGCTCTTATACATCGTCGTCGTTCGCACTCTTATACTGGCGGTGATGTTTGAGTGCTGGTAAGACGTCTGCAGCTTCTAACTGGCAAACTCTGGTGACTGTGCAGCGTTGCGAGTGTGTTGAACCTGTGGCAGAGCTCTTCGGCATTATTCCAATTGAAAACTGGAATTGGTTTAACTGGAAGCATTGGTATGCGAATTTCGGAATGCCGGAACGGTCCATGGAAGTTTGCCAAGAGCTACAACAGCAGCAACCATAAACAAGTAAGAGTGCTCCAGACAAACTTCTGCGACTGCGAGATACCCTAGCAATCAGCTGTGCACTTCCAGTACAACAAACACACAGAAATCTACACGCTTCACGCTCAATACGATTTGAATTATGCATTCCATATTTCTATATTTACTTTCCGAAATTTATGAACTTATTGGGTCATGAAGATACATAGACACATTTGCGCAATACTCATTGTTCAGATTTAGAGTAACAGCACAAAACAAAATAAAATT